CATATTGAAATTACTACCATGTTCTGAGCCCACAAGATATGTTGTAGATGCAATATATTCCTCGCGTCCAAAGTATATTCGTTTAACTCGAGGATTAATTTTTTGCACCGCTAACTTTTGGCCATATTTCTCACGCCATTGGCAAGCAGCGAAACCGCAAATTTGTAGTTTAATACCTGAAAATATTTATATTAGTTAATCAAAGAAAATTTGTGAATTAGTGATAAAACATTGTAAAAGTACACATTAAACAAGTATGGGATATACATACAGTGACTCAAATACCACGTGTTGATTTTTTTTTTAAGTAATAAAAAGTAAGTTAATTTTTTGCGTTTTCTGCCCTTTGAAGCTTTTCCCTGAAAATCAGATGGTTGCTTGAAATGAAAATATTATGAAACGCGTGAGCTACGAAAGGACAAAGAGGCAAAAACATGCCCTTTTACAGGATTAACAGTAGCGTCAAACACATTTTACACAATAGAGTTGCAAAATTTTTTGGAAGATACGAAATTTATTACTTATTAGACAGGGTTCTGAGCTAAGTGTACACGGTAGAGAAAAAAAAGCGAGACTTGAGACAAAATCGAAAATTCTACGACAACTCTACGCTCTATTTGGCAAGCTAAATAGAGTTTTTGCTCTACGGAGACGTATGGTAAGGCCTTGAAAATGAAATGAATCTAATTTTGTTATTACAGGTTTGCCACATTACATAATTAGCTCATGCAACCGTGTGAATATTAAAGAAATTGCAACTGCGCATCAGGGTTGCTTTTCCTACCAAAACTGGTAGTTTTTTTTCTCGTTGGTAGGATGGTAGGACGCTTAAAATTTTGGTAGGATTCTTTACTCATAAAACAGAAAACCTTTCTAGCTTGCTGTAATGTGTCACTTTGTCAGCACTGTGAATAGGATTGCCAAACTTTGACAATATCAATTTTACCCTCATTCATTTAAAAACCTCCTTGCTTACTGGTATAGGCAGAATTTTACCAATTACCTTCGGAAATTCTCTGAACTCTTTATTCGTATAAAAAGTTGTATTCACTGCGTATCTAAATATCAATAAATGAGATATTTTCCTTTGAAATGCCGTTGCAAATCGATAATAGTCTGAACAATGTAAAGATTGTGAAAATATTTTAAATGGCACTAGAAAAGCGATTCAAAAAAGATAACCCAATAAGTGGTTATATATATTCCCAATAAGTGGTTAGTCATATTTCCAATAAATCGAAGAATATCAAAGTTTTTAGCAACTCGAAGGAATTTATGTCAAACCCGCAGCGCGCAGATTTTGTCCCAAGCCCGGCGGCTCCTAGGTTTAGTTTCACCTTACTTATGTATATGTATGTCATTGCTTAAAGGTGAAAAGGCGCCAAGTCCATTTTTGAAATTGTTTAGGAGAAACGAAAAATCGATGTAGTTTCGCATTATCTGCCGTTCTGCATCACAAACTAAATTAAAATATATGGTACTGGCACCTTTCACCTTTATATATTTATATATGTATGCAAAAAATCTACGACGGAATTTTATTTTCCGCTACGATTTTTCACGTCATTTACTCCGAAGGCTTTATTAAAACTAATAAACTGCGAATTGTTTGCCACTTTTTCGGTTGTTCGCAATTTACTCGAAATATTGAAGGTCGATCGAAATACATGTCGGTAGGTGGGTCTGGTTCAAATTACACACCACTTTTTTGTGTGTGCTATATGTATGTTATTCTGTTTTTTTTTTGTTTACTGGATATCTTATTTTAAGTAAAAATAATTTTTTTTAATGCTGTCTTGATTAAAAGGAATGGGAAGAAATAAGCATTTTCGTAGGTTTTTGAACCAGCTCTTGGTAGGAAAGCAAGTTTTTCTGAGGCAACCCTGCTGCGTATAGCGACCAGTGTTGCCAGCTATTTTGTAGCTGTTATTTTCGACGTTTAGCTATAGAAATTTTTGTTTAGCTATTAGCTACTTTTTAAGCTTTTTTTAATCGAATTAGCTATTTTAGCTACAATCTTTTTTTATAATTTTCCCATTTTTATACGGAGTTAATCATTTTGATGCATATCAAGCATGCCTTTTGTTATATCGATTACACCGTGCGACAAGGGAAGCAATAATTGACGGTTTCTTCATTAGCCAACTTCACTCTTTAGCGCACTGTCTGTCGAAATCCGATTCTCAAACTGGAATGTAAGAACCAAAATTCTGATTTTTTGGAAAATACTTACGAGATCGATTCGGGCATAAAGGTACTAGAAGAAAGTATCGAGTAGTTTTACTCGTAGTTACTCTTATCAGAACCACACTACTCCGAGACTTTAGAGAAAATATAGTATGTGTAGTCGGATTTTTGAGAAAGGTATCCCAAACTTCAATCGCAATTTCCAAAACCTTCCGAAAGTAACTTACGACAATCTTTTAGGCAGACGACAATACTGAAAAGCTTCTAAAAAACAAATAAAATATTGTTGGTATTTCCGGAGCTTAATTCAGAGTTTACCGACAAAAATGTTGAGTTCTCATAACTGCATACGTTATCTAGTATGTTTGTTGGTATACTATGTATATGTTTGTTGTATATTGTATGTACATTATTTTCTGAAAATGGTATTCTGTTATAAATATTTGTGCAAGTCTGCTTTATATAGATAAGATAACAAACTGAGTTACATACATATGTATGCACATAATTATGCGAAATTTTTGTTAGCTATAACTGAAAGAAGCCCGCATACAACTGAAGCTAAATATGTATTTGAGTTCTATTAACATAAACTCGGCAATTGTTTATTAATGCCTATGCACCTAATAAATAGGTGTGTTAAAAAAAAATAAAAGTTAAAAGCAGTAACCCCGCAAACATATTTTGAGCGCTCAGAATATATGAGTCCGAAAGGAGTAGGAAATAGGTAGAAAATAAGAGTTTCAAACACAAAAAATTTTTTACTCTTATATGAATCTTTTAGGATTCATATATGTTCCAAGTTATGAGCCAGCACTTTGTGCCACTATAAAAACAATAACGACTCGAAATTTATATCTAAAGTTGTTTATACAGATATGAAAAATAATTAGGAAGAAAAAAATAAACAAAATTTAGCTGCAGCAGCTGCTATTACATGAATGCTGCAATAAACAAATATATGTATGCAACAGTATTTGAAATGAATTCCTTGCAAGCATGGCTCTAAAGTAAGTTCAATAAGAGTCGAAGAATAAGGCCAATAAGACTTACAGTACAGCATAAAAAAAAGACTCCTAAAGTAGGCATATATGAGGCCAATAAGAGTCATTAAAGAGCTTCAAAAAGAGTCCAAAATAAACTGTATATGAGGTCAATAAGAGTCTAATATGACTCATATTGAGGCTCATTTGATGTATGAATTTAAGCTCATGTAGGTCGACCTTCGCACGAAGGGAAACACCTTCATTTCGGACTCTTAAATGAGATCATTATGAGCGTAAAGGCTCCGAAATGGGAATCCTTAAATATTCATTTATGACTCCCAATGTTTGCTGGGAATAGACTCTTCTACACACATACACATCTATATTTTTTATAGTTCACAGTATGTATTTACACATATCTTAAAAAGAGAGCAGTGTGGTATTTTTTGCTCTCGCTATGACTGGCCATAAAATTTGCTCCGGTGCAATTGGACGCTCCAGCGAAACGCAGTTCGCCAATTTAAAAGCCAGCTCATTTCCTTGAATACCATGGTGTCTTGGCATTCGCACAAGTTGAAGGTCATTCCATTTTTTTAACAGAGGTCAGCCTGAACTTATATTCCTGTTCAAAATTTTATAATCGCGAATGTGGAAACCTCGAAAATGACGCCGTTTAAAAAAATCATGTTACTTTATTCTTTTGGTAGTTAATTTAACGTTATTTGACAAGTCGATCCCAGCCATTCAGTGGTATGGAAGCTATACCAATCAAACAGCCGCACTCAGAGTCATTTAATGATTACTTAAGGTGTTCCTCAGTAATGATTTGAAAAAATTCTCTCTCAGAGTCAGTTAATGATTCGTTACCGGCGTTTAATGAACATTAACGTTAAGTAAAGAAAAACCTTTGAATAACTTTTAACGAATGATTTTGAAATTTTTTGGTTGTTTCCAATAAACTTAAATTTCGATAAAGTTGTTACAGTGGCAATAGCCCAGTAAGCAGAGCACTTTCGCGTCATTCGAGTGATCCGAGTTCAATTCTCGGCAAAATTTATTTTTCATTAATTTTTTTCTTTTAATTTTTACGTTTTATTCCCTAAAAAGTTAATAATTTTTAATTTTATTTAATGTTTAGAAAGTTTTTTGATTAATCTTTTTTCTTTATTTACTTTCATTTTCTAAAATGTTTAGTTTTTCTTGTTTTAAAAAGAGTTTTTAATTTCGTTTATTTTTAAGAAAACATTTCGAAACGATAAATAGAATAATGCTATCCTCCTCGTTAGCAGACCTTTTAATTAGTCTTTCAAAATACAGAAAAGAGCTTTCAAGATAGTTGCCTGAATAGGAAGACTTTTGTCTTTCGAAAGACTGTGGTGAGTTGAAAAACAGATGCCAGAATTGGTATTTTAGTGGTTTTGTTTGTCGTTTGTAAACAATTTCTAAAAATTAAATGAAATAAAAAATTCAGATTCTTTTTTAAAATAATAAATTCTGCAAATCAAAAGAAACTTCGATTTTCTCAGTAGACTTTGTATGATTATTTAGAAAATCGTTTTCGGTTTAAGGTGTCCAAATAAAGGAGATATGAAGTAAAACTCCATATATATGAACAATCAATTTTATGGAGGCAATAGTTTATAAAGACCCGATTTTTGCCACTTTCACTGCAAGTATTCTGTTGGCAATGATTGAAAATCCGAGCTGCATAAATGGAGGAGTTATAAAAAAAATCTCATATCTGAACAATCAGTTGTATGGAAGCCATATATTAGAGTGGTCCGCTTCTTCCGGCTGCGACAAATGATTAATACATTATAAATATACACCCACTTAACAAATTTCATTCAGATAACTCGAAAACTGAGAGACTAGATTGCATACGAAGAGACGGACAGACGGACATAGCTAAATGGACTCAGCTCGACGTTCTGATCATATAAGTATACATTTTAATGGGTCTATCTCTTCTTATTCTGGTACCTACAAACATCGGACCAAAT